CGTGTAGATAGGTTACACGCTGACACTTCTTAAAGAAGAAAACCCTTTGTGGTCACCTTAGAACCCTTGAGGGTATGTGGAGGTATTCCGAAGGCACATCAATTCATCTAGATAGTTGCCTAGTTTTACGACAGGCTACATAAAAAGCACTAGCTAAGTCAGAACAAACTAAAATTTCATATAGACAATGACTTGTTTATACTATTTTAGATACAATACGCTGAAATGTAAGTACAATATTTAGAGAATTTTTCACTTGACCAGAGCTCAAAGAGCTTGACCAGAGCTCCAGTCGATTTATTTTCTAATTATATGGTAAAAATGAGAACGTAAGCAATTTGTCAGTAATAGTGTGCTGTGACACCTTTTTATATTTTTATGTCTGATTTTGTAAGAAAGTAGTTTTTAAGAGAGGTGAAACCTGGGGGTATGCAACACCAATCAGACTCCTGAAAGGGGTACTGTAGTCTGGAAAAGTTAAGAACCACTGCCTTAGAACACACTTCTGGATAGTTATGTCTGGGCTTATTTATTTCTTGATAGTCCACAGATTCTGTACAAAGAGGTCATTCAATTTGTGGATCAGTTGGTAGAAGAAAATTAAGGGAATCTCTGAATCTGGAGAGGCAGTTGACCTGTTTATAACTTTTTTTCATTTTTGAATACTAACTGTTGTTATAGAGTCAAAACTTCTCATCACCTTCAAAGCACTGTAACTCCACCCTGCCTACATCTATATAATTGTCTCGTGCACCATTCATGAGTCTCCCTTACTACCTTTGGGCCTCTTCCAAGATCTATTGAGCCAATGGGAATCTTTCCTTTTACTTCAATGGGCTTGACATTAGGTCCTTTTTTTCCCTTTGAGAACTCCTGACTACTTCTTTCATGCCTCACTCATGATTGGAACGGCATGCCAAGTAATGTACCTTGATATTCTGCTAAGGACCACTCATGAAAATCTATCTGTTCCACAAAAAATTCCAGCTGTAATCACCATTAGCCATTCTGTTTGCTTGCTCTGTGCTGTTATTAAGAATACTGTATTGTACCAGCTCTATCCTTTAGATAAAAGTTTTTAAGGACAGAGATTCTTGGCTCTTTGCCACATTCTAACTATAGCAATGCACCATTCATTCTTGCAGCTCTATATAAATAACAAATAATACACTTTTATTTGGTAATGCATAACAGTGCAACTGACTCCAAAAGTAATGGCTCACATAAATTTAACTCAGAAAGTGCTGAATCTTTATATGTAGATAATTTTTACAAGTCTGATGACAGTACTTAATGCTAGCAGCTCAATAATCTGAGGAAGCATAAAGAAATTTAGTTGTACTGTAGCCACAACATTGGGCTTATGGAGTTAAGGCAGACTGGTGAGATGAGTGTTTTGGAAGGTGTCTGATGGCTGCCTCCACTATAGGTGGAGGTGTCATCGCTTCTATACATTTTATTTTTGCATACATTTATGCTGATAAAGCACTGTGTAGCAACATTAATTATCAGTTTTATTATGAGATGGAACCAAGCTGCAAAGTTCAAGTCCAGATCCAAATTTCACTAAAATTTGTGGGTGTTGGGATCTAGGTTCAGACCCATCTCTAGATGTACTTAATAAAAATTAGATAAGTGCTTATTGAAATCAAAAAGTATTTTGGAGTGTTCATTTCTACAGTGTACACTTTTGATAGAACCTCCTGGGCAGTGGAGCTCATTGGACGTGTGCCTCGTTTTTGGTATTTCTTAATTATTTTTAACATTCAGATCTACTTTCCTTAGCCACACTCTTTTGCAGCAGAATTACAGATCAATGATGTTACTCTTTTGTGTCAGAGATTAGATATGAAGATTTATCTCTATTGTATTGTTAAAATATTAAAAAATCTAGAAACAAATATATAAAAAGCCCACCCCCAGGTATTCAACAAGGGTCAAACATTAACATCAACAGTGGAAAATGTGTGTGTGTAATGTGAAGTGGCCCATGTTTGGTTTAGTTGCCACCGTTTGATTTATTTGTTGGCCCTCATACTGCTGCTTGGTGGTTTCTGGATTGTGTAGGGTTATTAAAGAAGGTACTAACAGTGATTCCCCCAAGTGACAGTGACCCCCCAATAATTTGTCCCCCACACTTTAAAATCCAACAGTTTCACCAAATACAAAAATCTCTTGGGTCTTCTGTTAAAACTTAAAAAGAACAGGAGTACTTGTGGCACCTTAGAGACTAACAAATTTATTAGAGCATAAGCTTTCGTGGACTACAGCCCACTTCTTCGGATGCATATAGCGTGAAACATATATTGAGGAGATATATATACACACATACAGAGAGCATGAACAGGTGGGAGTTGTCTTACCAACTCTGAGAGGCCAATTAAGTAAGAGAAAAAAAAA